TGTTCTTTTTTCTTCGCTTTGGATGGAGTATGGAAATTACTCATTCGCATTACAATTAAGCGATTCGTTTTAAATAAACGGACGATTTATTAAATTTTCATGATGAAATATTGTACTAGTCTCTACCTAATACTAGCACACATAAGCATGTCATACAGATATTCTATGATTTTGACGCCACATCCCAAGATGAATTTACATTGACATGGGACTTGTCAACTTAATGTCTCAGGGTGACAGGCGCAGAGGCAGTGTCCCTCAGATTTTAGCGATTTAAAATTCTGAGTGGCAGTGCAACTGCTATGGACTGATGTGTCAATTAACACTGGGCACAAGACTTGTTCGTCCGACCACTTGGTATCAAAAAAAATAATTGAATTTGGTACTTCACAAGTATTATATTAACAAGTTTTGTTCTATAGTTATTAGAGATTCGTAAAAAAAATGTTCATACTCAACGGACCATGTATTACGTGCTACAGTGTGTTCCAATGCGCAAATTAAAAATTATGTAAATTATATTGCGTAAACGTAAATCAATTGCAAAAAATTGAACAACAACGAAAATTTAAAAACGTAATAGCCAAGAAAACCAACGTTGCGCAAATATACTACATTGCAAAAAAACGAGGACTTAAATTTTTTTATAATTATGTCAAGTGACGGGACGAACAAGCCGTGCGCCTGACGGTAAGCTACACGCCTGTCCATACCAGTTACAGTGCCACTCAGAGCTTTAAATTGCAAAAATCTGAGGGGCACTACCACTGCGCCCATCACCCTGAGACATAAGTTGACAAGTCCCATATGCCTGTAATTTCACCGGCACCCTTACCCTTCAAAACCGGAACACAGTAATGCTGACATTACTGCTTGGTGGCAAAAATAGGGAAGGTGGCAATACTACCATAGACGAACTCTTTCACAACGAGCTCTACTGCTACTAGACGTATTGTAATATCAATGTAATTGTTACTTAATTATTTATTTTTTGTTCTTTTGGTCTTATATTTATTGGAAACTGGTATTTTTAATTCATTACTACAATAATTATCTAATGCAATTTGGTATTTCGATTTCAAATGGACTGGCTACTGCCAAAAATATACTTTTTAAGATAATAATATAATTTGTTATAATCACCCTTACGCGTTTTATTTTATTGTTTACTAAATATTTAATTTATCTTGTTTGTAGGCTCTTGACTTTGTCCAGGTAAGTATTGAAGGTAGGACCATAAACATTTACACTATAATTTATTAAAGAATCTCCCAACGCATACCACACTATTAGCAATGTTCGCTTATGCAATGCATTTTTTACATGATAGCACTTTCCTACAACGGCCCTAAGATTTTTGCAAAGTTCCCCAACATGCAATTTCCAGTTGAAATTCGTATCAACCTATAATCCTAAGTACTTATGTTACCGCTGTTTAATTGTTATTTTAATCTAGTTTTTTTTTTGTAACATAATAAGAATCCAAACTTGCTACTGACATGAAAACCAGACACGAAGTAAATTTTGTTCATACTGTCGTATGATTACAAAAAATCATACGAAAACTTATTTTAACTTCAAACCTTCAAGAACATGGTTCATTTTTATATAAGTGTACTCGAATCCGATGGCACTTAGGAAAGACTTAGCAATTATAATTACCACCAAGCGGGTGACATGTTCGTGCCGTTAATCAGTATTATAAAAAAAGATAGTGGAAAAACATTTAATAGACACGTTTAATTGACCACAAATTGATATACCCTTGTCCGATTAACTAGATCTGCAACTTTTTAATGTATCTATTGATCATAATAAATCATATCTAGTGAATAAACGAGCATTCACACTTAATTAATGCCTATTTACCATGGAAACAAGTCTGAGAGGTGAAAGTTTAAAAGAGAACCCACACACTCGATTTACACATATCGACTGTGAAATGGCAACCGGTATTATTTCAATTTTCTAAAGACGTTTTTTGTTTCACTTTATATTATTTCATACTCCGCAGCGTTGCAAGAAATTCCATCTTAGACTCATTTAATTTTGGCGCCACAATCGACTTCATTCAAATTGTACTAGCTTCTAACCAGATGCTATATAAATGATGCAAACAATTATTTTCTTCATTTTGTAAAATTATCAAAATCGAGATAGTACAGTCAAGACACATCAAACTTGACACTTTGAACTTTTCACCGTTCTTATTGTAAGAGGCATACAGTTGGTTTTAAGTCTTAAGTGTAAAGCTTGACGTGCTCTTGACCCTGTACCGGTTGCCAGTTCACAGTCGATATCCATTTAACGAACAAATCTCACAAGTTGGCAATATGATTTTCTAGTCACGTTTATTGATGTGTTTAGTTCAGAAGACTTTCGTGATGAGTCCAAACGAAAAACAGACATATTGCCTGATACGTTCAGGACACTCAGTATTGCCTAGAAATTGACAAATAAAGCGTCGTAGAAATTCAACAAGTTCGTTTACCGACTTTAACATTCGAAGAAATAAAGAAAGAGTACATGAACGGAAAAGAACAGGTAAAGTAAAGGCGTGAAACCTGTAACAAAACAATGGGTCTACTAAATAAGCTGGAGCGGTTGCAGAACATATGCATTAGATTCATTTTTGGGTTGCGTAAATTTGACCATGTTTCAGACTTTCGATCCAAACTTGGATGGTTACCCATTCGTCGTCGTAGGAACTTTCGCATTTTATCCCTTCTATACTCTGTTCTCTTGATTCCACCTTTCCTCCCTACCTCAAGATTGTTTCGTGTATCATAGCACTACACTCAGTTGCACCTTACGGTCTTCTCTTACTCTTTCTTTACATTGTTCTACCCACTCTTCTAACTTTTATTCTAACTCCTTCAAGGTTAAAAGCATAAAACTGTGGAATTCCCACATTATCATTAATATTATTATTTAGTATTTATATTATTAATATTTTCTTCTTCATTTGTATATGTGCAATATGTGTATTCTGTTGGGCCCTCAAATAATTTTATCTTACTGTTTTTCCTGTAACCCGAAGGATGCCTGGAAGAGATTGCTTTTTAGCAATAAGACCGCCTGTTGTACCTGTAATTTTAACTTTTTTTGTATTGTTATTATGTATTCGTCCGTGTGCACTAAAAAAATATTTGTATTGTATTGTAATGATATAAAAACAGGTACAATGGTATAAAACACTCCGTACTTAAATTAAATACAGGTTATACTAATAAAGGAACTTATGTAAAGTATTTAATACTGTCGTCCACTAACTAAAACACGGCTAAGTGACAAATTGTCAAATATCCGTTTTATAAAGAAAAATTAGAGCACAAAATTGTCTAAAAATAGTTAAAATTAGTAAACACGTTCGACTTATCGGAACTTACCCTAACGATGCATAGCTAAAATATCGTTAAACAATTTCAATATTCTAAAACTGGGTTATGGCTTTTTATGATATCTCAAACATTATTTTGTCACTTAGCGTTTTGTTAGCGGACGACAGAATTATGTGACATGATTGGTCAGAATTTAATGCCAAGTCAAGCACGTGTGCTCGCTTCGAAAATTTAGTAGAGAGTGGCGATGGAAAGACGAAAAGTGACGAAGAAGAAAAAGAAATTTAAGAACTATTAAAAATTTCAAAGTAGGTGACCAGGAGACATAAAAAGGGTGGTAAAAAGGTGGGATGGCGATAAAAGAGGTCACAAATGTAACATTAGTTGTAGTTCACTTACAGCCTTACTTATAAACACTATTTAACTTTAAATAACGCTTTAAACAATTCTTTAAATAAAATCTTACCTATAAACGTTGATTAGTGCTAAATGATTGATTAATTTCTTGTTTAAATAGCTGTCAACTTATACACACTAGGAATCTTGTTTAACTCGCTAACTAAAAAGATGGCTGACATTAATCAGCTGTTAGCGGGTTAGAAAACGTCAATGAGATAGGCAGATATGTTTTAATTTATATTGTGAGAAATTTTTAGTTCAATTGTGAAAAAAATGAAAATTTTTGGCATGATATAGCAGATTTGCGGTACTTTAGACGGAAGCGCGCAAAGAACAAAAAACGATACGATCCACTGCTCCAGTTAGATGAACATAAATTTAAGAAACGATATCGTTTTCCAAAGAAAACAGTTTCAATTACTATGTGTAAAAATGTGTTAAATTTTGAATTTATACCGAAGTATTTCTAGATTTAAGAGCAAGTTTTTGTGAAGATTTTGACGATGTATTATGTTTATGGTATTATGTTTTATTTTAATATATAATCTTATGATTAATTTCCTTAACAAAAGGACAAGGAATTCAAAGGTATTTAATTCATAGGTAAGGATGGCTATACGTAAAATTCTCTTTTAACATCAAAAAATGCAGATGCATTACCGCTCAGAGCTTTGAATCGCAAAGGTTTGAGAGCCACTGCCACTGTTCTCGTGACCCTGAGACATCAGTTGACAAGTCATAGCCGCCAAGCAGTAATATGAACATTACTGTGTTCCGGTTTTGAAGGGTAAGGGTGCTGGTGAAATTACGGGCACATGGGACTTGTCAACTCATGTCTCAGGGTGACGGGCGCAGTGGTAGTGCCCCTCAGATCTTTGCAATTTAAAGCTCTGAGTGGCACTGTAACTGTTATGGACAGGAGGGTAACTTACCATCAGACGCACGACTAAAGGACTATCCATACATATCCGGGCCGTGCCCTGGACGTGGACGGGGCGTGCTGGTTTGCATGAACCGCGGGCCCGTCCCGGCCCCGGCCCGAACGCGGACATGTGTGAACGAGTTCATACAAAATGTACACAACGATATTTTTTTGAGCCCCTAACGGAGCACGGCCTGTCCACGTCCCGGCCACGGCCCGGGCACAGCCCGGATATGTGTGGATAGACCTTTATTCGTCTCGTCACTTGATATTATAAAAAAAAACTCATCAAGCTACCGGCTAAGGCTCCTACGTGACTCGATCTCGCAGCACCAGTTGATACTTAGTTTCGATAGCGAATGTGCGCCCTACGTTTTGCTTCGCTGTTACGATCGAGTTATGACTTTTTACGTGTTTCGCTTTTACGAACCACCACTGTATGATTATGAAATTTAGTGAATAAACTTGTGTGCATACGAGCGTGTCGACATTATCAACACAAATATCAAAGTTCTTTAAAATAGAGAAAAATGGAAACTTTGCCAAAAAGTCCAGTTTTGAAATTTCCACCAGACACCCTGAAAGTTATTCGCAAGTCATGGGACTTAGACGGACCAGGAAGGATGAAGGAAGCAATCGATATTCTGGAGGAATGGATTAAGAAACAGCAACATTTCGTCAAGAAGGACTTTCGTGAGTCATTACTTTTTGTTCTTTGTTATATTCCTTCACGTTCTCTTTACGCTTTTGCCAAGTCTTCTTTTCAGAAACTATTATTCAATATTTATTGAATTGATATTCGGTTCGATTTCGGCCGGATCGAGGATTTTTTTTCTAATTGTCGATCTTTGTATTAATAGTTATAAACAAACTAGTGAAGTAATTTCACTTAAAAAATCATTTAATGTCAATTCAATAAAAAAAATTAAACTCAGACTTTATTTTTTCACACAAGTAATATTAGATATGTTTAATCAAATCTCTCTTTTATTTTCCTATTACGACAACACATTTACATTTACGTCTGTCTGCATTGTTGCAGCTCGAGATTATTTGGAAATAACACTAATCTGTAGCAAAGGCTCTGTAGAAAGAGCTAAGAAGCGGTTAGACAAAGTGTGCACCTTGCGAACTTTTGTAAAAAGTTTGTTTGGAAATTATGACTTGAAGAATGATTTTAACCATTTATTCGGTGAAAAACTGTAAGATAATTTGAAGCTTTAACTCATACAGAAATTCATACGTGCATTATATTATGAACCTTAATTAGCTTTTCTTTTAATATTTTAATTTCTAATGATTCCAGGACACTGGCCCCTCTACCTACTTTAACGAAGGACTATTGCAGAATAATTGTTTTAAGATTCAACAAGTTATTTGACGCAAAAGATTTCACTGACATGTACAGGGCTTTAATTATAGTAAATATTTCTTTTCTTTTTTTTTGTTTACCTGTAAGTTTAGTTTATTTTAGTTAGATGAATCGCGTTAACACAATATTTAGCTCTAATGCTTTTTTTATATAAAATGTAAGTGTGCATTTGACCTCCATCTCACCTGATGGAAAGTAATGATGAGGTCGACGATTTAGCATGTACACCTAAATAATGCCTATTTACTCTCACTTTGAAAAGGCCAACGTTATAACGTTCAAGGAACAAGTCTGCAGGCAGGGAATTCCACTCCATAGCCGTTCGCCATATAAATGTGGAAGCGTAACACTTGGTGCGAATCTTTGGAATATCCACAAAATAGGGGTCGAGCCTAAGCCTAGGCCTTGTCCCTCGGTGATGAAAAAGGGGAAGGCGGAATTAAATCGTGTAATTCCATCGCAATAAGAACTTACTTATTTCTACTGCCAAGCAGTAATGTGAGCATTACTACGTTTCAGTTTTGAAGGGTTAAGGGTGCTGATGAAATTACAGGTACATGAGACATGTCAATTACAGTCACAGTGTGATGTGCGCAGTGACAGTGTCCCAACTGCAACTGCTATGGACAGGCGTGTCGCCTATCACCAGGTGCACGTCCCGTCTCAAAAAAGGAAAAACAGTATTTTTACCGAACGTACAGATTATACAGGGTGTAATTGTTATGTGTGCCCACACGATTATTTCATAAATCGATACCTACAATGAACACTACGTCAAATTAATTTTTGGTCATTTTCTGTTTTTAATGTAATCAGCCATATATATTTACTAATATTGTTTTGCCCGAATTTTGTGAAAAAAATAAAGAAACAAAATTCTAGGAGCATAACATTAGGAAATAAATAAGGTTGTTCACATTAAAAACAGAAAATGACCAAAAATTTAGTTGGCGTAGTGTTCACGGGATGAATCGAAATACGAGAGATATCATTACGCTTATAATGTACACAAAATACTCGTTAATTAAAATATAATATTATAACTTGAATATTATAATGGACGTGTGAAAAACTTGCATGCCATTTGTTTGTCTTTGCTTTTGGATCGATTGCAAAAATACTATATTTCTGTATATTATATGAGATTTGTGTGCGTATATTATAATAAGTATAGTATAATATTAATAACATTGAATTGTTACAAATAAAGGTAACCTAATGTAAATAGTCGACGCCATAACCCTTTATGCTACTTTTGTACTCCAGAATAAACAACTTTAGTTCTATTTAATTTTTTGGGTTTTATTTGGGGATTAATTTTTTGTATGTTAAGGTTTGATGTTGACTTAATACACCCTGCGTATGTTTTTTAAATCCAATATTTCCACCATTTTCAGTATTTTGACTACCTCCGAGTACACGACTACGTGAACGGCTATATCATATTTAATGATTATAAAGATGTAAACATTTTGGAGTTTGCCAGTAAGATAAATATCTTAGAACTGGGTCATATAGCGACAACAATTATAGTAAGTATCATGTTTTTTATGAGACCGTTTTATCCTACTATTGGACAAAGGTCTCCCCCATCTTTTCTCATTGCTGTCGATCTTGGGCAACATCTGACCAGTCATTTAAAAAAGATTCTAAGTCATCCCGCCATCGCCGACAGGGTCTACCGCGTCTCCTACTAGAGTTGTGGGGCTTCCACTCTGTTGTTATCCTAGCCCACAACTTATTCGGCATACGGTAGATATGACCACAGCCAGTTCCACTTCAACTTTTCCGCCTTCTGAGCTACATCGACAATTTGGGTTTGTGAGCGTAGCTTGTTGTTCGTGACATGGTCGACTAATATTACACCCAGTATGCTACGCTCTAGATCTCGTTAACCTGGCTCACTCGTCCAGTGCGTGTTGGCAGGTGAGTAGTAATCTTTCGGACTTGGCTTGTGAGCGCCACTGTTGATGGACTAGCCATTCTTCCGCCGCCACTCTAAGCCACAACTCCGTACCATAGTTGACGTTACACACTTCGTGAGAATTGTGCGATAGTTTAACGTCGTGTCGGGGACTTAAGTGTCATTATATTAGTTAATTAAAAAAAATTTAATTAAATATATTTTTAATTTATTCATTATATTCGATAAAGAGTGGCAGTAGCAACGTCACTGGTTATCGAAACAGCGAGATGATAATGCTTTTTTTGTACTCCAGAAAAAAATATGTCAATTATAATTTCATAAACCATATCACAAAAACGGTTTTTAGATCTGAACCAGAATTATAAAATCTATTTACTCGCTACTTAGTTCTGTACCTACATAGAACTATAATGATTTCCAAAACAGAAAACAATATAAGCGCTCTCCTTCTTCCTGATTGGTTAAAATTTAAGCGGTACTTAGCCAATCATGGACACTTCTATGTCTTGTTTTTTGTTTTGTAGTGATTGGTTGGCTTTCAATAGTTTGTTGACGTTGATTATTAACAAAAATAATCTTTAAATATTGATTGAGTTACATTATTATAATTTACACGGTTCTCAACTTTAGAACACGCATTTATCATCCAACGATTGCATAAAATATTTTAAACAAAACTTTTTAAATGTAGTAGATTTTATTTCCATACATAAAACAGAATGGAATAATTGGTTACTATGTTTACAGAAAAGATAAAAATAAACGGTAACTACAAGAAATATGGGCAATCAATGTTGTTGTTTACCATGAAATAAATTTTCCAGGAAGGCTTTGGAGTAAGAATAAAAGGAATCTACCTATTATCCACATCGAAGCTCATAGACGCAATAATCGCTATTTTCAAACAAGTCCTCAGTGCCAAATTAGGCAATCGAATATACGTCACAAAGACAGTAGAAGAATTCCACGAACGTGTTCCTAAGGAAATTTTGCCCAAAGATTATGGCGGTAATGAAAAGAATCTGGCTGAGCTACATGGTAAGACAATTTAAATTAAATTTCGGTACACACTTATTTAAGTGATAATATAATAGTACATTATTGCAGAGGTCGCTAAGTAAGGGACTGCTGGACGAGTATGAGTTACAAGGTCGCGCGTCAGCGAGGCCGTGTATTATTAATATTAATACGAGTCAAGCAAGCCCCGTTCCCGCCGAGGCTTATATAGTGATTTTCTCAAACAATTTGAGGAAATAATAATAGAACACTAAAGAGAAGATGTGTAATAAAAAAGTAAAAAAAAAAATGTTAATCAAAATTAAAAGTAATATTTGACATTACATTTGACATTTGACAGTATTTCCAAGCATTTTCGTTAACGCTCTTCTCTCTAGAATTTATTTTGCGACGAACAGAAAAAAAGGCCAAAAAAACAAAACAATGCTTTAGTCATCGTGTTTATGTATTCGATGCATTGACTTACAAATAAATGGACGACGGGTCTAATACAAAAACCACGAAAAAAATGTCCCAAGTCAACCTATTCGAAATTTAAATTGTAATGTCATCGCAGTATCGCGCTGTCCGTAGAACAAATGAAGACTAAAGCGGAGTGTCGCGCTCTGTATACGATTTTAGCGCCTTACAAGTGCGGACACTTTTTAGCGCAGACCCGACGTCCATATAATTGTAAGTCAATGATTCGATGGCTTTAATCTATTTTACCGCCTTTTTTTAAAAAAAATACCATTAAATTACGATGCAATTACGAACACTTGACAGTTGGCTGTATGAGTTTTCATTTTGCTTGTTTACATAGGTAGATTTAAAAGTTTAAAGAAGTGGACAGTAATGGATTTTCATATAAAATTTGCAGGCCTTGGTCGGGAAAAAGTCGCACGGTCCATAAAAGACAAACTTTCAAGTTAGGTTTTTGAAAGTAATGTAAACATTGTTTGAGCATGTTTGAGAAAATTATTTTATTTCTGCGTTTCAGATGATTGGATAGAAGAATTAAGTTCAGAAGAGTTTACGAAACACAGAAACGAAATGAATGAAGCCTGCACTAATGAAAATCTTCGACCAGTGGATACTTTCAACGATCAGCACTTGGGCATGCCTGGTACATTCCGAACTTTGAGTTTAGATTAATATTTCAATCCTTACATAGGGACTGTAAATATGAAACAGAACTTTGTTTAATCAAAACGGTTGTCGATGAAATGTAAAAAAGAACAAACGTGTACACTTTTTTTATTAATTTTAATGTAGAATGCTAACCCGTACAAGATTGAACTAAAAAGTACCTTCAATTTGTTTGTATACGAGGTCGATATGGTTTTTTTCGTCATCACACCAGACTATTTTTAAAATGATGACATGACGGTTCTAATGATTACTGAATTATAACAAATAATTATGTCGTGTAATGTTACTAGTATGACCTATTTGAGAAATGTATAATTTCGACTATAAATTATTTATATGTCATAATTTATGAAAAATTTTGATGTTATGTATCCTGCTCTGACATCAGTTTTGTATACTGATATATTAGCACTGATTAATTGTTATTTAGTTCATTTGTTACCAGAAGACGAAAGTAACTTTTTCATAAAGAACACTATATTTTATACTATAATATGTTATACTGCCTCTGTGGCTGAACGGTTACCATGCCTATCACGCAGAGGTCCCAGGTTTGATTCCCCGGGCCGAGAGAAATATTAGTATGGCCTACATTTATTTCTCTTGTGAGTTTGGGTTTAATTTGTGGTTGTCTATGGCATCCGCGACATAGGGTTTTCCTAGTGCGGAGCTATGTTGAGTGCGTTATTATTATTTTTCCTCCTGTGGCGGCCGTATCTAGGCGAAATTGCTGCCAGCGCAACGAAAGAAAAGGTGAATGCGCAAGTTCATATCATTTCCCCTGACATCTTCGACCTACCACTATATACTTGTTCCAAACCTTATAGGACGCTACTTGCAAGTGCAGTTACTCGTAGTACAAGTAGCTTTTAATGTAATTAAAATCGCAAAAATACTGTCCACTACTTATCGGTATTGTAACATCTTCATTTCGCACCACCACTGGGTATTTAAAATATTTTTTTGTAATTATTAATACAAAGATCGAACACTTAGAAAAAAATTCCTTCGATCCAGCTGAATCCGAACCAAGATCTTCTAGCAAACCGTGTCAGACGCTATGCCAACTCAACCACGGAACGGACCAGCGGACCTTACAAATTTGTCTATGTGCTTGTTGCAGATCTCTGTTTGGCTTTATAACGACTTTTTTGCAGTAGCGCCATCTGTGAGAAATCTATCTCTTCAATATTTTTCTGTTTCAAATATAATTTTGTTATATGTATATACATCACGTAACGTTACAATTATGTGCAAACTTTTCTATTTCTGCCGCCAAGCAGTAATGTCGGCATTACTGTGTTCCGGTTTTGAAGGGTAAGGATTCTGGTGAAATTACAGGCACATAGGACTTGTCAATTTATGTCTCAGGGTGACAGGCGCAGTAGCAGTGCGCCTCAGATCATTGTGATTTAAAGAGCTGAGTGGCACTGCAACTGTTATGGACAGGCGTTTAGTTTACCATTAAGCGCACGACTTGTTCGTCCTGTCCCTTGATATTATAAAAAAAAACTTGCGAGGTGCTAATCCGCTGGCATAAAAATGTCAATGTGTAAGTACTACCAAGGGTTATACCCATAAGAGTCATACTATAAATTATAAATACTTTATTATTTATTTGTCCTATGTTTTAGCTAAAGATTCAGTTGTTATCATTGACTTACAAATAAATGGACGACGGGTCTAATACAAAAATCACGAAAAAAATGTCCCAAGTCAACCTATTCGAAATTTAAATTGTAATGTCATCGCAGTATCGCGCTGTCAGTCGGACAAATGAAGACTAAAGCGGAGTTTGGCGCTCTGTATACGATTTTAGCGCCTTACAATTGCGGACACTTTTTAGCGCGGACCCGACGTCCATATAATTGTAAGTCAATGGTTGTTATTGTTATTTTAAAACAATTAGAAACATTAGAACATATTTTTTTAACAATTTTTCCCTTGTGTTATCCACCCTTGTTGCACCAAACCGATAAATTAATTGGGCGTTTGTTTTATCAATGGTTTTTAAGGATTAAATTGTGAATCAGTCTTATTCAAAAGTTCCATTGAATAAAACTCAAAACGTATTTTTATATAATTCATTACATTGCTGGATTGAAATGAATCGACAAAATCAGCAGGTCTGACTGGCCTCCTAGACACTCCATGTTGAGGATGAAGTCGATCGTTTCAGCCATTTTTTTACATTAAAATAAGATTTTACAAACTGCAGGTGGTAATGTGTCCGAAATTTACACGCACATTTATAATCCTTGCAACAAGGGCGGAGCGCCACCTTCTAAATGAATGAAACTTACGCCATCTAGAAGGGAGATCGAAATGGGTTGTCGTCAGAAGACACTGATAGTGTTTTACGTGTTTTGATGCAATAACATCAAAACAGGCTCCGGATGCCGAACAGCCTTGTTGTTCCCGATGCTTCAATTCTACCCTCTGAGCGACGTGTAGGCATTGACTTTAGATGATGGAAAAAAATAAAGGCATTGCCCCGCTAGTGGTACTTGTAAAGTATTATTATATACATCATCCATAAAAATTGACTTTCTACTAATTCAAATTAAAGAGAAATAATTTTTTGAAATAGTTTTTCGGCTCTGGTGTAAAGTCCTATTTTTCGAGATACGACAATATCGCTTTCCGGCGTCGACGTGTACCGGACTCCTGTAAACAGATTTAACCTTGTACTTTTTGGTAGGTACTTCTTACTTATTATTCACCAACGTTCATTGGCTCTAACTTATGTTATCTGTGGGGTAAGTAAGGAGCTGTATGCTTAGACCTTACATAAATTGCAAGGTACAATTTTTTCCTAAGCCTTATATTATAACTTACTATTTTGTATTTCTCTACATAACTGTTAAATGAAAATAAATATTTATTATTATATAGTTGTAGTGGGTAACTTTAGTGGGCATTTTTGTGGTGGTTTAATATAGTGGGAAAACGGTAATAGAACATTACGTAGACATATACGTGTTTTCATTGACCAAAATTGATTTGTCGTCCTCCACTTTTTTATCTGTATGTATAATATGTGTGTCAAAGAACTAAATAATATATCATATTTTTAATAACGAAACAACACAATCGTCAACTAAAGGATCAGTTTACTATTTTCAAAATTTTCGAATTCAAATTCATTTATTTCTTTGTGATACACAGGTTACAAAAGGTGTTACAAAAAATTCACATAGAATTACTGTGATTCACCTTGCAGCATACAATGTTTGCCTTTTTTTTATATACACTCTCACGCAATAATTTGTTTACTGTATTCTTGCCGTCCAATATAATAACATCAGTCACAATATCAAAATAAACATAATGTCTAATATTAAAATAATATATAAATAATATACAATGTGAATTATTTTAAGTGAAATGTGTAATATTAATAATAATATATTAATTGCAAAACACACGAAAATAGGTACAGAGATGTGCCTAACTCCCAAACCAGGATCCTCTGTACTATGGGGAGCTAGGTGTTACGTCAGTCAAGTGTATTGTCTAAAATTGACAATAACTTAATCTATTACAATAACCCAATAAGCTTATAAAATATTAATAGTAGAACACAAAGAGAAGTGGTTTACATTCAATTTTGGTACATTCATAAATTTTTTACATAATCCAGTACAGTTCTAATTTTTATAAACCACAAAAAACAGGCAACTTCAGTACCAATAAAGAACAAAAATATTGAAAGAAAATTTTATAAGCAGGATAAGATGCATTAATATTAAAAATTAAAATAAAGTCACAAGAGCAAGGAGGGTAAGTATATAGTCACAACTGCATGCGAGCGCCATTCACTGATCACCAGCACAAAATAAACGTAGGCATGGATGAAGTATACACTATACAGTACACTCATGAATGTAAATAAAACAGATGTAATTTTTGGTACAATTAAAGTGAATATTTGTATTATTTGTGTAGTAAATATTTAGTGTAAGTATATTGTAGAAAATTGAAAAATGGCATTTCATTGCGGTAAATATATATCATTAACCTTAAACTCTGTAGCATTATAGCAATATCTTATTTCAATTAGAAGTTTGTTATAGACCTTCGAAGCCATTACAACTACTCTTTCTCTAAGTAGAGCAGTTTTGCATCGCCTGGTTTGTTCAACTATAACATATTATTCAATAAAAAATTAAAGTCAATTAATAAAAAATAAAATATAGAATTTATTAATCACTCGTGCTGCTCAAATTTGACATTCGAACATATTATTATTATATAATATGACTGGCAGCATAATAAATATATTCCACTTAGAATTGCATGTAGTTGCTTCATTTCAAAAACCAACTAATATTAAAAGGGTATTAGAACCTGATGGCACTTAGTCAAATTTTAATTTGTAGTGGGCAACATCAATATAGTAGGATAAAATATATTTTATCATATTTCATCATATATTTTAATTGACCAGAACTGTTCAGCGAAAGGTAAGTAATTTCAGATACATTTAAAATTAAACAAAAATATATCAATTACATTGTGAGTTATAGATTTATTTACGTTTGCGGTTTGAAGTAATTAGCATTAACACCATTTATGGTTAAGTGAAGTTAATTAAGGTTTGAAGTATCAATCTAAACTCAAAGTTCGGAATGTATCCGGCAAGCCCCATGTACTGATCGTTGAAAGTATCCACTGGTCGAAAATTTTCATTGGTGCAAGCTTCGTTCATTTCTTTTCTGTATTTCGTAAACTCTTCTGAACTTCATTCTTCTATCCAATCACCTGAAACTCAAAAATAAAATCATTAAACATAACTCTTATAAGCGTCTGGTACCAGAGTTTAATTAAAATTGTCTTACCGTGTAACTCGGCTAAACTCTTCTCATTACCACCTTCATCTTTCGGCAAAATTTTCTTGGGAACATGCTCGTAGAACGCCTCTACAGTTTTTGTTACGTATATTCGATTGCCTAGCTTTGCACTGAGGACTTGCTTAAATAGGGAGATCAACGCCTCTGTAAGCGTCGATGGGGAGAACAAGTAAATTCCTTTCAATCTCAATCCGTAGCCATCCTGCAAAAATGATTTTATTATAAATAACAACATTGATAGCCAATTGCACGTAGTTGCCATTTGCTTCTCATTTCCTTTCCCGATTTGTTGATGTTGAGAGGGGCCATAAAATATTATTAATCGCATCTCCCTGTTTTGTTTGAAAGAGGTGGCAATAAAGAGCCAAAAAGTATTTTTAATAAACTGAGATTATCAATACTTACTATTATTGTTGTCATTATTATAACGCAGTTCCGACAGATTTATCTTACTGGCAAATTCTAACATGTTTAAATTTCCAAAGTCACTGAATGTGATATAACCGTTCGCGCAGTGTACTCGGAGATATTCAAAATATTGAAAATGATGAAAATTATTAGTTATAAATATTATATAGTCGAGGTCAAATAATCTTTTATTCCATAGGTAAAATGTTTACACTTGAAAACGTCATATTTTAAGCTACTGCTCGTTCACAGT